CCACTTCTATAAGTCGAAAGGAGACTGCGACCATACTCGAGGCCACAACATCTTGGTCTTCACATCTTTATTTAGGTTGTTTTAGTTGATTTAGCTACGTGTAGGGTGTAGCCAGCCAACTGCTGCTCCTAACTCTTAATTATGCACATTTAAAATATGTTTTGAGTAGGATATCAAATTTAATTATACTCAGCTTTTTATATAACTATTTTCTAGGATAATTATTGAATGGATAATTTTAACTTTATTAATACTATATATCTGATTTACGAACACTAGGATTGAACAGCAGAAGCTGATGCGAGATCGCATCAAATCTGTCATGCTTACTAGCTTGTCTGCATCTGTTCGCCACTTGGCTTCCGTCGCATTCATTGCTTTCCTTCCACCAGATTGGTCCGACTGTCCTTGTTCAGCCGCAGACCGATCATTTCTATCTATTCGACCTGACAGTGTCTGTTGTGTAAGTGGTCTTGGTCCTGCTAACTTCATCAAATGCGCTTGTTTGGTCAACCCAGCTGGCCTACAGAATAAAACACATCCCGAGACATCTGAAATATATCCTTCTAGACGGTCAGGTCTAAACCGTCTTCACGCCCAACTTTGCGTACTTCAGGCCTGGCTTAGTGCGCCCAGCGTTCCCCAAGCTATTCTCACTAAACGAGCAAGGTAAGCAATTTTTAATTGGCATATTTTGCAATAGGGACTCAGGTTTTTTCTGGTCCTAGGAGGAACTGGAGGAGGGTGTACTGAGGCCTACGTTAGCCTGAACATCATAAAAAATCGCAATGCAGGTCAATCCTCCGTTATATTGTGGTGAGATCAACTCATGTAATTCTTCAGGCTATTTTCGATGTTGATTTATTAATTAATGAGTATTAAGACAATTTGCTTTGTTTGAGGCGCAATATGATAGCCAAAGAATAAACTTTAATATTTTATTATAGCAAACTATTGTGATCACGCTTCAATGGCCCTCGCAAAATAACAAGAAAGCGAATATAATTTATCTTTACTTTATTTACGTATAAAATTGCGAATTAGCATTCAGTTCCTTGTAACTGTCTTCCAGACTATTGTTAAAATGTGATTGATATCAATTTTACAAATTAGTTTATTTTCTAGGTGTCATTTCTTAGAAGTGTCAACTACCTTAAATATAGCGGATAATATGACATTTTTCTGGCTTAATTTCAACCTGAGATTCGTTCTATCCATATTCTCAAAATATAGATCAGTAACAGGATTTTTAAGAGGGATATATTTATTTCAAAAAGAACCAAAATATTCATTTATATTTTTAGATTCCTCTCGAAATTAACGTTTTTTGATTTTTTCAAAATTAATGGGTTCAAAGCAAAATACGTTTTTAATATTAGCAAGCAATTAGTAACAATGAGCGACCAAATTACTTATTCTGTCATGTACTTTTGATTACGGAAAAAAATATACTGCATAATTTGAAATAATTGATTATTATTACACTTGTGAATATATCTTAAAATAATAATTCATCCTTCTGAATGTATTTTATTTCTATCAAATGTTGGCAACTAATTCTGTTACTTCCACCCAAGGAAATATGTTACTTCATTATCGACTTACCCATGCTTGACAACATTCTTTAAAGCCTCAGCTGGTTTCCCCATTAAATAATTGATGTAAACGATACGGCATAAATCGCTTTCGCTCTCAGTATCGTATCTTCGTTATTTTTAAATGCATCTTTGCCAACATGCTTGTTGACGCTTTTTCGGAGGCAATCATCTTCGATTCCTTTGAAAACGTGCTACTCTTCCGCTCGTCCTATTCTCATGGGCATCATCAGAATAGTCCATCATTCCTACGACCATATTGAGGCTATGAGTCAAGAAAACTCTCCTGCTCATCCCTAGAAGACTGTATATGTACTCTATATTTTACCTGTTGGATGAGGTATAAAGTGGTTTGATTATATTCAGTCATATCTCAACCTCAGACAATGAAAGTTTGTCTACCTGTGTTTATGTTCGCATGTGTACGAAACTAGCAGTGAAAACTCAAAGTAATTAGGGCAGCCAAATTAACACTCGTTCTCGGCCACCAAAGTTTGGTGACTACCATCAGCCCCTCTCTATACATGCTTTAACCATCATTCTGACTAGGCAAGGTCAGACACACGTCTGCTTATGTTGATGAGCCTTTTATCTTCATGATAGAGAATTGACTGATTAGAACAAAGACAAGAAAATACTATTGTTGGCGATACCTTCATTTCGTGTGAAAGTACATGAAGAAAAGATCCGTAGATTGATCTGATCAGAAGACGGCGGCTGAATCCCGTTGTACTGCAGCACTTTGGCTTTAATACGACGTTCAGGTTGACGCAGCCCACGATAGATCCTCCATCGCCTCAGGTGAATACGGGCTGAGCTTTCACTCATTATCCGATGGGCATCATCAGAACTGGAACTCATTCCTGTAAAATTATCACATTAACGCTAGGTCAAGAAGACTATACAGCTCTATCTTACCCCTTATATATGCTAATTAGTAAAAACGAAAGTGAATATAGGATGGTTTGACTAATTATCTTTAATACTAATCCTGCTATATTTGCTCGAGT